TCAGACAGGTAAACTGGGACACAACTGTTAATGGCTTTATAGACTAAAGTCAGTTCTTTGAATTGTGCTTGGAAGCTAATAGGCAGCCAGTGGAGCTAGCGTAGCAAGGGTATTGTGCGCTCTTGATACCCCGCTCCCATAAGCAGCCTGGCTGCCAAGCGTTGGACTAACTGAAGCTTCCAAACAGTCTTCAGAGGGAACCCCACGTAGAGTGCATTCCAGTAATCTATTTGGGATGTAACCAGAGCGTGGACCACCTTGGCCAAGTCCTACCTCCCAAGATACTGTTTTAACAGTTCAAAATCAGATACATTAGCAAATTGAAACAATATCATTTGGTTCCAAAGGCTTACCATAAGAATGAAATCAAGGATGGCATCAACTGGGCCTTTAGGGGGAAGACATCCCCCGTGCTGCAATATAGTGGATTCCGTTCCGTCCATCATATGTATTTTGCACTTATATACAACTTAAGTGGTTGGGGGGGGGGGAAGGGCCCGAGGCTGTTAGGAATTGTTGGAGTTGAAGTCCAAAACACTAGGAGGGGCAAAGTTTGCCCATGCCTGTTTTAGGGTGTCTAGACCAGAATATATTTGAGACACTATGCTACATGGCTTACTTTCCAGTGTTGCTCAATCATATACATAAAATGGAAATGTATTAGAGAAGTAAATCCATTATGCTGAAAAAAGACCCACACATTTGAAGCTGACTATTTTCTTGGTAGTGACTATTTTCTTCTGGCTGCAACTTCCTTAATTTTATTCATGTTCATAACAAGTTGCAATCCAATGCTTTCCTCCATTTTCAAACTCCAAAAGTTAGAAACCTACAGTTGCCACCTTGGGTCAGTTACAGTGTCATGATTTTAGCAATCCAAATGAGTCCACTTTAGAGCTGAAAGATTCCTTTGCCTTCTTCCTTCTTTATTGTTTGTTTTGGTTGTTGTGAAAATCATAAATGAGCATTTTACAACCAAATGATGGGTAATAAGGATAACCTGGTAAATATAGGTGGAGTAAATACTGTAGACCCATACACTGAAATTGCCATGGGAAAAAATCCTAGAGGGTTATGCCCTCCTTTTCCATAGGCGCACCCAGTTTTTCTGTTTCCTTATTGAAAGTCCCCCTCTAGAATCTTTAATTTGATTTTTAAATGCTTATTTTGGAGAACTGTTTGTGAATTTGACTCTGACAGTAGTTTAGATGGGAAAACATACCCAAGTGCAAAGCTAGGAACAATTACTGTGTGGTGTTGTTGTGTGTTTTCCGGGCTGTATGACCATGTTCCAGAAGCATTCTCTCTTGACTTTTTGTCTGCATCTATGGCAGGCATCCTTAGAGGTTGTGAGGATCTCACAACTTTTGAGAATGTTTGCCATAGATGCAGGCGAACCTAAGGAGAGAATGCTTCTGGAACATGGCCATACAGCCTATGAAACACACAACACAGTGATTCTGGTCATGAAAGCTTTCGACAATATTGTTTTTGGCTCTATCTCCATAGTTGAGGGGATTCTCAGATATGTATTATAAAAATTCAATTTTTCCAAGTTCTGCCTAAAAGTAAGAATTTTTAGGGGCCGCAATAGCACAGCAGGTTAAACTGCCAGCTGCAGAAAATCTTGCTGACTGGAAGGTTGGTAGTTCAAAGTCACAGGTGGAGGTGAGCTCCTGCCATCAGGCTTACCTAGCAGTTTGAAAACAGTAATGTGAGTAGATCAATAGGTACCATTTTGGAGGGAAAGTAAAAGACACACATGAAGACTTGCCATCAATTCGAGCAGGAAGGCTTCCATGGACAACAGGCCCCTTGGCATGGAAAAATGGAAGAACAGCACCTCCCCATGGCTGAAGTTGAACACAACCTCCAGATGCCAAAGATGAAAAAGAGGGATGCTTTAGTCTCTGTATAGGTACTGTCTTTGTTGTTAATTGTATAATAGCACTAAATATTTGCCATACATGTATTCTGTAATCTGCTATAAGTCACCTCAGGGAGACAGAGTGGAATATAAATAATGTAGTATAATAATAATAATAATAATAATAATAATAATAATATTTTAACCATCTGAGTAAAGCTCTTCCTCCCATCTCTGTGAGGCTTTTAGAACTGGGAGAAATTTAAGCAGAAGCTTGTGAATTTTAATTGGCCACTTATGAAGCTGAAACTGTAAAAGAAAAGGTTTTAGAAAGCTAAACTGAATATATGTGCTTGTTGCTATACTGTCAATTTTGCTTTTAGTGACGCCATGACCTCTCTCCACAGTGGCTTCATTTTTTATGCTTTTCAATCCTTATTGTCTTTTTCTGATATCCTTTTTATAGATAGGGCACTCTGCCACCAAGCAGCCTTCCCCATCCTAATGCTATACAAATGTGTTGGACTACAACTCCCGTCTGTCTGTCATGGCCAATGGTCAGTTACAGGAAGGTCCATTGTTTAGAAACAGGTAGGAGGCCTAGCCTTTCCCAGGTAGTTTTGGGAAAGACACCCACCTAAAAACCAAGGAAGGAATTTACCAGTCAGTGTAGTAAAATAATGATAGAATTGGCACAATGCAACTGGCAATGTTCTATATACATGTTGGTTGGAGATAATGAGAATTGGGTTGCTGCGAGTTCTCCGGGCTGCATGGCCATGTTCCAGAAGCATTCTCTCCTGACATTTCACCCACATCTGTGGCAGGCATCCTGCCATAGATGTGGGTAAAACATCAGGAGAGAATGCTTCTGGAATATGGTCATGCATCCCGGAAAACTGAAAGCAACCCAGGGCTTTTCCACACAGCCTTATATCCCAGAATATCACGGCAGAAAATCCCACAATATCTGCTTAGAACTGGGTTATCTGAGTCTACACTCAGATAATATGAGATTTTCTGCCTTGATATTCTGGGATATAGGACCATATGGAAGGGTCCCCAGTGATTCTGTCAACGCATCAGGAAAACACCAGATTGTAGAAGGTTGCACAAGAGTATTCCAGGTCTCTGTAAATTGCAGTTCTATTTCTCTTCCCAAAATGCAGTAATTTCATCATCTGGGAGTAAGTTTCGTTGGTGACAGCATGACTCTTTTCAAATAATTACTACTGAGTAATTGACTTCTGACTAATACATGAGGCTCCTCCACTGTTGTAAACACCCCTGGAAGTTTATTATTATTTATTTTATTAAGCTTTCAAAGTGATTGAATTAAAAGAAATTAAATTTGGGCAAGCAAGTAAATACTTTACTTTAGAAAACTGCACTTTCATCCAAGCAATTGCAGCAACCCTTGGAATGCGAAAGGCCTGCAAATGTTTATTTTGTACCAAACATAGATTAAAAAAAAAAATACCCAACTACAAAAATGATCAGACACCACCACCTAGTGTTTGAAATTGGAATGGCAGGAAGTTCACATCTGCCAGAATAAAAGTATATTTGTGAAATGGAGAGAAAAGTGATCATGTATATTGTTTTAAGGAGAAACAATCTAAAGGAAGAAGACACCCTTCATTTTGGCAGGAATATCCCTTTAAAAATCAACTGAAATATTATGATAAAATGGAATGTATTCTATGGCAGGCATAGGCAAACTTGGGCAGGCATAGGCAAACTTGGGCCCTCCAAGTGTTTTGGACGACAACTCCCACCATTCCTAACAGCCTCAGGCCCCTTCCTTTCCCCCCTCAGCCGCTTAAGCGGCTGAGGGGGAAAAGGAAAGGGCCTGAGGCTGTTAGGAATGGTGGGCGTTGACGTCCAAAACACTTTGGAGGGCCCAAGTTGGCTCATTCCTTTTTCTACAGAATGCCTGCATAATTTTAATGATAGTATGCTTAAAAATGTTATATAACTTTATAGGGTGCATTATACCTGATTGAGGAAAGTGCTGGATCTGCCATTATTTCTATGCATTTTTATTCCCTTTCAGTTATTTCCCAGTTCATTTATAGTTGGAACAAGGAGCAAGGTTCAAAGGAGGTTTAAATTGTAAACTGCTGTGCTGCAGAAATATCCTGTCAATCAGAAGGTCAGCAGTTTGAACCCGTGTCAGGGTGAGCACCTGTAATTATCCCCAGCTCACCTGCCCACCTAGCAGGTCGAAAGCAGCAATGAGAGTAGATAAAATAGGTACCACTTTTAGTGGGGAGGTAATAAAGGTGCCCTTTAAAAGGACATTGATTGGAGGAAAGCTCCTTGGCATGAAATATGGAGTGACAGCACCCCCTCGTGGCCAGAGTCAAGCACAGCATCAAAAATGCCAGAAATAATTACCTCTTTTTGTGTTGCCTGTCCTTGTTAATTGTATAATTGGCATTGAATGTTTACCATATGTGTGTTCTGTAAGCCACTCTGAGTCTCCTTTGGGGTGAGAAGGACAGGGTATAAATACTATAAGTAAGTAACTCCCAGAATCCCCAAGCTGGTGAAAGGATTGTGAGAGTTTGAATAAAAACAAGCTAATCTTTCCAAACTGTTTTTTCAGATATCAATACACTTTTAAAAATTCTTCTCAGTGCTTTCCAAAGCAGTGCTACAGAAATGAGAAGATAACTATGAAAAATTACTGCTTTATTTTGAATATATTTTTATCAGCAAAAATAACAAAGTATATTGTGGAAGACAGTGAAAAGTATGGCTACTGTATGATAAAATAATACATTTTAAGACAGTATATTTTTAACATGAAATTGATTTTTCTCTCTAAAGTAATTGTATCAAAACATTAACATTCACAATATACAGCAGTGTGTGGAAATTCAACAATAACATTAATCGGGGCAATGTTAGCAAGAGGAAAAACTAATGTAAAATATGCATTTTGAAAGAACAAAGATATACAAGAAGAATCTTTTTGACTGAAGATTTGAGACCACTGTTTTTTTGGGATGGATGATCTACACCAGGCATGGGCCAAGTTGAGTCCTCCAGGTGTTTTGGACTTCAACTCCTACAATTCCTAACAGCCTCAGGCCCTTTCCTCAGTGTAAGTGGCTGAGAGGGAAAAGGAAAGGGCCTGAGGCTGTTAGGAATTGTGGGAGTTGAAGTCCAAAACACCCGGAGGGCCCAGGTTTGCCCATGCTTGGTCTACACATATATAAGCTGTAAAGCTATGGGTTTTGTGTCGAGGATACACCCATGCATCTCTCCCACATTTCTTTCAAACCCTTCCTTCCTGTTTTAAAACTACCCTAACCTCTCACAAACACATAGGCACCTCTACCTGGCACACCTTTCCAGAGAAGGTCATTGCTTTTCCTACATTCTCATACTCACATATCACACAACTTCCATCCCACTTTACATACATACTTTCATTCCTGATAAAGATAACAGTTAAGGTGGCAAGATACATATCTGCAGGACTGCTTTCCATCCATCTTTCCATCTATATCTATCATTATCCCTCCTTCTTTCCTTCCTTCCTTCCATGCATGCATCCATCCATCCATCCATCCATCCATCCATCCATCTTTTTATTAATATTGTCCCTTTTCCCAAACTGGGTCTTAAAGCAGGCCCCTTCCACACAGTTGAATAAAATCCCACATTATCTGCTTTGAACTGGAATATATGGCTGTGTGGACTCAGATAACCCAGTTCAAAGTAGATATTGTGGGATTTTCTGCCTTGGGTTATATGGCTGTGTGAAGGGCCTACAGAGAGAACTATTCAAAACACATCCAATTAAAAATGTATTTTCCTTCCTGGTAACTCCAGGTCAGTTGAATTTGGAGGGAACTGTCCAAAGTGCTGAAATCTGTCCTCCAAATAGGTTCAGTGCACTGGAAAACCTTTTCAGGCAAATACCTGGAGCAAATTCACAAAATCCCCATGCTCCCACTTTAGATCAAATAAGGACTATGTTTCATCCAAATTTAAAATTGGTCAATTTCAAAACATATTACAGTGGCAAACTTGCTTTGCTTCACATAACCTTGTAAGCTGTGCAGTCACATCCTGAATACATGCCACTTCAAATAACACTGTTTTTACAATTGAAACATAATGAAAATACAACATGCTGTGTGTCTGCTATTGAATATTATCATACATTAACTATCAAATATTTAAAAAAATCTTGAAATAAATACAAAAGTTGCAGATCACCTAATACTGAGTTTAAAGATCAAATAGTAGGCATGCCAATGAGCAGTAATAGCAAAATCAGATATCAATATGAATATAATATCAAATAATATTGATGAAATACTTTTTGGACAATCAGGAAATGTGTGGATACTGAAAGGTTACCGGAAGTCCTATATTTTTAATGCTAAAGAGAACTAACAGGCTTTAGTCTAAAAAGTGGACAACAGATACCACTATTTAATAACTCTAAAATCAAGACAGTAAATAAAGAACAACACTAAAAAACAGGCAAAAACCAGACATGAATCAATCAGGGCCAGCTAACACCTCCTAACAAAGGATTCCCCTGGGCAGCAATCAGCCAGGCTTTGAAGCTGCAGGGCCATTCAATGCTAATCAAGATGATCAATTGCAACATTCACTCTTGCCTCAAGCAGACAAGAGTTCTTTCTCCCACCTTGGATATTCCACAGATATAGAAATCTCACTTGCCAAGTTTCCAAAAGACCCTCAACCTCTGATGATACCTGCTATAGATGTGGGTGAAACGTCAGGAGATAATGCTTCTGGAACATGGCCATACAGCTCAGAAAACTCACAGCAACCCACATTCTAAAGAGTTATGATTGGCTGACTCAACTGGGGAACATGCTCCTCCATGTTGTTTTCTAAGATAGAAGTTAGCTGTAATGTCCACTCCTGGTCTTCTCCAAGCTAAATGTACCCAGCTCTCTGAGTTATTCCTCATAAGACTTGGTTTCCAGACCTTTGATCATCTTTGTCTCTAACATAAGCTATTCTCTTTAAAAGTGGCCTTATCAGTCTTCTCTTCTCCAAGCTAAGCATTTCCAGTTCCCTGTGTCTGAGATAATGGGATCTCCCATTATCTGGCCAATACAGCACACCCAATTCCTGAAGTTGTTCCTCATAAGTCTTTGTTTCCATACTTTTGATCTTCTTGGTCTTTAACAGACGTTATTCTCTTAGTGACCAAGATGATTGAGATAAGTTATTCTCTTTGTGACTAATATGATCAAAGGTCTGGAAACCAAGTTTTATGAGGAATGATTTAGAGAGCTGGGTTTTGTCTAGTACCGTAGCAAAATACAGAATACAATGTTTATTTCCAGGGGATTACTATATTTGTTTGTGATAACTATCTTCTCTTCCTTCTGTATTGCTATGAAATAGCATAAAAACAATGTTTGGGATGGATTTGGTTCTGTAAAACATCTACTAAGCACCACAATTTCCTTAAAGATCTACCCCAATGCCTGTTTTACAGTAATGCTGTTGTCAATCATGCAAAGTTGGCTCAAGGGTTAAGGATGCTCCAGTCTAAGCATTTCTAAATTATGAGCCCAACACATGTTAAGATTGTGTCATTGTATGTTCATATTGGGATTTTTGTGCTAGCAATATTTTAAACTGTTAGCAATGTAGGCACAAAAAAATGGAGTGTGTGGCTTCAGTTAACTAGCTTCAAATAGAAGAGCTTAGTTTCTTACAACTAATGCATGGAGATTGTACACATGCTAGCAAACCACTGGTTCAAAGTAATGCATGTAAAAACTCTGCCTCTTTTGACTTACTACAGAACCTGAAAAGGAAGATGGTGAATTTCCTCTTCCGTTCAAAGGCTGTTTGGAACTGAGCATGAAAAATTCAATTTGTTATAGCAGCAAATCTAGCTTCTTCTGCAGAGGTGGAAGTCTTTTGAATACATGACTTATTTTCTATGAAACAGTACAATTCCTTTATTTTTCTTGTGCAGCATCGTCATCCAGAGTTGGAATGGAGAACTGAAATGGTTTCACTTCCCTTGAACTTTGATTGGAACTTGGAGTCTGTTCAGAATCTTTGCTCTTCCTGCTATTGCGTGTCTGTAGTTGAGAAGGAGAATACTTTAGATTAATAATATAAACGTAAAGTATCAAAGAACCTCCTTCCATCCCAACTTCGTACCATCCCTACCATTCCCTGGCTGTGGAGAGAGAGAAGAAGAGTCAGGCACAGCTCCATCAGCAGATGAAAGGTCCTCCATCCACCCAACTGCCCCCTCCCCAATGATGTGCTCCTGATACGAACAAACATAAGGTGTTTCTTGGGAGGAATTTTTCTGCAGACCTTTCAAAGTTCTCTTTGCCAGTTTAAGCTGTGCTTCTAAATAGGCTCAGTCTCTATCTTTTTAGCAAACACTAATATTACAAAACACTGTAAGATCCCATAGATCTTCTTCAAAAGAAAAACACATCTAAGGAGGTACAGTGCCCCTGGAATATGGGGTGAATGTAACACACCCCAAAATATATACCCAAAGCTGAACATGACACTTCAATGTTCATATAAATGTATTGATGTGAATGCATTTAATGCATTAATTTATCAATGTTTCACTATATTAATTTGCATGTTGTGGTTCACCCAGCAGAAGAAGATGAGTGGATTGTTATATGGGGTGCAACATTGCTTAATGTATTTAATTTATACCTCATCCTTCTTCTGGCATAAAATACAAGGTGGCTTACAAAAATATACAGCAAAGTTAAATTAAAATCTTATTTTACAAATTTAAAAGGACATAAATATCAATTTTAAAAAATCCACAGTGAAAATAGTTTTAAAACACATTTAAGTTGTAATTACTAATACAATATTCTTTTTTTAAAATATATGCACTACTGCTATATGATTTAAAATTTTAATACATGCCTGAATAAAAAAGTTTTCACGTGCTGACAGAAAGTGAGTCCTAACTGGTTTTTCCATTGAATTGTTTTGAATAGCCTTGTCACAGACATTGGGAAGATTCTCTGCTCTGTTCCAAAAAATGTGCCCACAAATCGGTGAAGCTGAGAAGTTCTCTCCTCCAGATCTTAAAGCTTTTACGGGGAGATACAGTCTTTCAGATAGTCTGGACCCACGCAATATAGGGCTTCATGGGCCAAGCACTTTTTAGTACTTTGAGTTGTGTGCAGAAACAGACTGGCAGCCAGTCAAGTTGTTTCAACAAGGTAGGGGTCATGGGGGTGGCACATGGTTATGCCTCTGACTAAATGCATTAATTCTCCATAATCAAAAAATACAACTCTGATATTTTGAAATCAAAGCTGAATGCTGACGAAGAACACCTCTAGCAACGTAAATTAGTTCCATCTGCCATTAGGCAAAAATAGGGATGAAGCATATTATCAATTTACTAGAGATATCAGTAACGGCGCTCCATGCAGTCATGCGGCCCTATGACCTTGGAGGTGTCTATGGATAATGCCGGCTCTTTGACTTAGAAATGGAGAAGAGCACCACCCTCCAGAGTCGGACATGACTAGACTTACTATTAGGGGAAACCTTTACCTTTAGCTTTTAGAGACATCAGAGAGGGCTCAAGACATTTGGTGGAACATTGAATGTGTCTAGTATCAATGACTGCTCAATTTATTCTTGTCCTTGAATCAGAGCCGTACATTACTAGTTCAATTTTCTAAAACAAGAAACTAAATCAGCTGCCTGAGGTGGCCCCTTCATCTGCCTTAATGGTAGGACCAGAAAAGAGGACAACCTTTAGGAAAAGGGACCACTGGAAAGGATGGGGCTATGTGCCCTGTCTTTATTGACAGCTTGGAGAAAGAAAGTGTTTTGCTTAGTCAGCAGCTGCAACAAAAATAGACAAGAGCATCACCGCATCATTTACAGGATGCTCTCAAGAAAACACTCAATTATATACCTCCCTTAATCATGTCTTCTCTGTATTCTTTCTCTCTCTCTCTCTCTCTCTCTCTCTCAGAACAGCTGGGGAGAGTGCCAGATCTGAAGCTCCCCTGGAGGTAAACAGATGAGCTCTCTGAATAGAAGAGTCAGCACCAGGGGACATCATTCACAGGCCTATGCCAGGGACACTATTAATAGATTTGAAACCCAGAACTGCAAAAATGTCCTTGTTTGCAATGCTTGCTTACCGCTCCTTCTGCCTCCGCCAGCTGGCATGCCAGAAGGGAAAGCAGCTGTGAAAAGGATGGCCTTTTTCGGGAGTCCAGGGCCCAGCAGGAACAGAGGACTAAATATCTGCAAAGTCAACATGGTAAAAACACAGAAAGAGAAAAACATGCAATTACTCCCTGTTGCATTTTATGTGGATGCTAGGCGATGTTAAAAGACCTGGCGATCTGAAGAATGTTCACTTTAGTCAAAATTAATCACAAGTTTCGGGGATGCTTGTTAGAGGATTCTGGGAGCTGTAATCACAAAGCTTGGCTACATTGGCTGAGGCACATCAAACTTTCTCAAGATTTAGTAAGTAAAGGTACTTTTTTTAACACTTTGCCCTATATTAAAAGATCTCAACACAGTTTCCAAATAACACTAAAAGAGGTTTAAGATTTTGAAACAATCAACAAAACCAATCCCAAAATAAACATAATAATTAAGTAAAACAAGATCTCAAAGATTTTGAATGTTTTTAAATGGTGTACATCAACATTTGAGATAAATTAATAAGGGCCTCGAAGGGCAGACAGGTTTTCACTTGGCATCCAAATGAGATCAGCATCAGCACCAATCAGGCCTCTAAAGGCTATCTATTCCACAATTGGGATGCCACCACTGAGAAGTCCTTCTGTTATGTCCCAACATAGTGTAAAGACTTTATTAGCTACTGAACCATGTAAGCCAAGGGTGAAAAACCTCAGACCTTCAGGTATTGATGGACCACACTTCCCATGTTGGCAGCAGTGAAGGGATGCAAGAATACCTAACTTCTCAAGCCCCAATCAGTGAAGATATTCTACGATGTCACGTACTCTCCACCAGGTTCAAATATGCAAATTGTATTTGCCAAGCTTTTATGTTGACATTCACCCATATTTAAAACCTTTCGGCTGGGTACAGTTATTTTGAGAAGATCTGCACGATGTTATTACAACTAGATTTGCATGTATGAAGTATTAGGTAAAGGTAAAGGTTTTCCCCTAACATTAAGTCCAGTCGTGTCCAACTCTGGGGGTTGGTACTCATCTCAATTTCTAAGCCAAAGAGCTGACATTGTCCATAGACACCTCCAAGGTCATGTGGCCAGCATGACTGCATGGAGTGCCGTTACCTTCCCACCGGGCAGTACCTATTGATCTACTCACATTTGCATGTTTTCCAACTGCTAGGTTGACAGAAGCTGGAGTATTAAACACATACATGTGCCAGCATTATAAAATGAATCAAAACTTTTGCAAAATACAAGAATGCCCACCTAACCCCAAACACTCAAAATGATCAGTCACATTTATACAGCTTGGAAAAATTGCTTTTTGAGCAGAAGTTCCCAGAATGCCCAAGCTAGCATTCAGATTTGTTTCCTTAGCTTGCACATCTAATCAGTGTATGAAACCAGTGAAGTGGTCATACATATAAGGTATAAATATAAGTAGACTTGAGGGCTAATGCATAGTTAGAAAAGTGGGCAGTTTAGGAAGAACAGGAGGCCTGTGTTGTTTTTTATTTGTTCAGTCGTTTATGACTCTTCGTGACCTCATAGACCACCCCACGCCAGAGCTCCCTGTCGGCAACATCCATCCATCTTGCCCTCGGTCGGCCCCTCTTCCTTTTTCCTTCCATTTTCCCCAGCATCATTATCTCCTCCAAGATTTCCTGTCTTCTCATTATGTGACCAAAGTACTTCATCTTTGCCTCTAATATCCTTCCCTTATGAATGCAATTAAACTGCATTCTGAAACTGCATTATATGGCAGTGTAGATGGGGCCCCTGTTCTCCCTAAACTGCCCACTGGCCAGAGCCCTATCCCCTGTTGCTTACATTTCTTCTGTAGCATAAAATGGACATTCCATTTTAAAGCCACTTCGAATCAGCTTGTAGAAATTTGCATCTACTTGCATTCCAGGGTATGGATTAACACCTAAGGGGAAGAAATAGAGCAGAAGCAAGGATTCAGTACTGAAACCCAGGGTACCCAGGCAACAGTTACAACACACACACTGTCTCTTTTCCTCCCTCCCTGAGGAAAAGAATGTGAGCCAAAACATACCAAGAGAAAAAATTTCCCACAGTAAGATTCCATAAGACCAAACGTCGCTCTTGATTGTGTATATTCCTTCAAATAAGCTTTCAGGTGACATCCATTTGACAGGTAAGCGTGCCTGTATAAAGACAGAGGGAAACTGGTGAAATCACTTCTATATCAAAACATCCACAGACTGGAGTGGCAGAGGAAACAATTATGCATCCTCTGTATGTGTGTGCATATGTATGTATGTTCGTAGGCAGGTATATGGGTGCAATTAACAACTGAAATTATTCCTGTGGCATATCACCAAGACAGAAATGCAGGGTTGCTTCAAACTCAGTCAATTTGCAGAGCTTGGAATAGTTTTCTTGGGATAACCCTGGGGTACCTCTCATTATTTCCTAGCCAGCAAAAATGGTACTATCTCAAACTCAAGTCTTCCCTGTTTGAGAAATTTCCACAAGGCACTGGAAATCCCTTATGGACTTTTTGCATAATAATAATAATAATAATAATAATAATAATAATAATAATAATAATGGAAAATGAACACATCAAACTACACTTGGACTTCAAAATTCAGACTTACAAGAGTTTTGGAGCACAATACTCCTGACTTCACAATTGTGGGACAAAAAAAGAAGCATGGATCGTCAATCTTGTAATCCCAGGTGATAGCAGGATTGATGAGAATCAACTGGAAAAGCTTACACAATATGAGGATGTAAATATCGAACTGCTAAGATTCTGACACAAGCCAGTAAAGGTGGTCCCAGTGATGATTGGCACACTGGGCGCAATGCCTTAAGCACTTAAAAACAATTGGTGCTGACAAAATTACCATCTGTCAGCTACAAAAAGCCACCCTACTCAGATCTGCACGCATTAATCGCCGATATATCACATAGTCCTAGACATTTGGGAAGTTTCTGATGTGTGAGTAAATACAAAAGCCAGCATAGTGATCTTGTTTGCTGTATACTAATTTTGTTATGTAAATAATAATAATAATAATAATAATAATAATAATAATAATAATAATAATAATAATAATATCAGCATGTTGACTAGGGCTGTGGGGACTTGTAATCCAAAAATATTTGGAGAGTCTCATAGTTTCCAACCTTGATGAACACACATTGGTCAGCCCAATACAACTGGCACATGTACAGTTGCAAATCAAGAGATGCAGTACCTTGGGCCATCTGTGTTATTCCAGCTCCAGGGCAAAAAAATCTCATAAGCATCTTTTCCTGTTCTTAGCAATAAAAATACAATCATAATACATTAAATAGCAGCAAACCATAATTTGCAGCTTTACACAACAAGCAAGCTTCATTGCCAAAAATAGCTGGCTCATTCTGTTTTGTGATAGGAGTTGGTCCTATGTATAGATCACTTTATTTTATTTGTGTGTTTTTGCATTTCATTTGGATGCTGCCTTTCTCATAGATCCAAAGTAGTTCCCAAAATACAAATCAATTTTAAAAACATAACCATAATTTAAAAAAAGAATTAAAAACCACCACATCAAATGCTAGAAAACCATTTAACATACAAACAAAAGTTTTAAAATACACATCCTAATAAGAAGGTTCCTTGTTCACATATCAAAACCCTACTTAGACATAAAATTATTTACAAATCTCTTTCTCTCATCTTTTGTATGTGGCATTGGCCCCTTCCACATAGTGAATAAAACCCCATATTATCTGTTTTGAATTGGGATATATGGCAGTGTGGATATTCCAGTCCAAAGTAGATATTGTGGGTTATTCTGCCTTGATATTCTGGGTTATATGGCTGTGTGGAAAGGCCCATAGGGAGAGTCCCTTTTCACCCTTTTCAATGCAGAATATTTGTTATCAATAATTACTGCTAATATAATAGGAAATATTCATCATAAATGACATTGAAAAATCTGCCAATTGAATTAACTTACATTCCCTCTGACAACATAGTTGGAGTCATTCACAATATCCCTGGCAAGACCAAAGTCACAGATTTTTGCCACTTTTCCAAGTGTGACCAATACATTTCTGGCTGCAAGGTCCCTGTGAACACACTGTCAAAGGAGGATTGTGTGAGTTGATTTGACATCATATATCACTATGCATTTTGATATGGAAAGGGCACAAAGCTTGAAGAATTGCTGTCTAGAACTGCTTTCTAAAACAATGTTATTGTTGTTGTTGTTTACTTATTTACATCCCACCTATACATTGTGCATCCCTGGGACTTGAGGTTATTATTATTATTATTGTTGTTATTATTATTATTATTAGGGAACTAGCCCTTTGAGAAGTGGCTTAAAGAGCTGGGCATGTTTAGCCTGCAGAAGAAAAGGCTGAGAGGAGACATGATGGCCATGCATAAATATGTGAGGGGAAGTCATACGGAGGAGGGAGCAAGCTTGTTTTCTGCTGCCATGGAGACTAGGACACAGAACAAGGGCTTCAAACTACAAGAAAGAAGATTCCACCTGAACATTAGGAAGAACTTCCTGACTGTGAGAACTGTTCAGCAGTGGAACTCTCTGCCCCGGAGTGTGGTGGAGGTTCCTTCTTTGGAGGCCTTTGAGCAGAGGCAGGATGGCCATTTGTCTGGGGTGCTTTGAATGTGATTTTCCTGCCTCTTGGCAGAGAGGGGCTGGATTGGATGGCCCACAAGGTATCGTTCAACTCCATGATTCTGTGATTCTTTAAAAGCTTGGTCTTCATTTTTGTTTCTCTCTCCCATAGACCTTATAATTCATGTCCATTTGGAAAGGTTTTGGAGAATGATGGGGTTGCAAAAGTGGAGCCACACAATGCCTATCCCTATTATATGTTTACTTATCCATCTGTCCATTCACTATCCATCCATCATCTACCTCCCTGCCTATCCATATTTTCCCTAGGGAAATTTAGCTACATCTTTCTCATAAATGTGAGCTGTAAAAGCTAATGGCTAGTAACAGTTTCTAATGGAACTTGTACCACTGTACACATTTTTGCTCTCTCAAACTATGTTTTGCACCATGAGACTTACTGATTTTGACTCTAGGAACTCCATTCCTTTGGCAACTTGATAAGAGAAGCACAGAAGGTCTTCAAAAGTCAGGACATTAAGATCCTCTTCATCATCCGGTCTCCTGTTCACGTATTTCATTTCTTCTACAAAAGAAAAATCTTGACAGTTTGATTTCCCCAGAGACAGGTGTCAAAAGAAGAGAGGCCAGAAGGCAGGTGTGGGCAGAAGCTCAGAAGTCCTTGCACAAAGCAGAGCTCCAAGAGCATCCTTCCAAATATCATCAAACTACAGTTTTTCTTATGTCTTTCTTCTTCTTTTAAGAATCTCAAGAAACCATCCATAACTAAGCAAAAATACTTTACACTTTAAAAATGTACCTCTTCTGATTTACATACAAATTCAACTTTAGAACAAACCTACAGAACCTATCTTGTTTGTAACTTGGGGACTGCCTTAGTCCTGAGCTGTGCCCTAGATGAACCAAAGGTTGTCTGATCATTTTATAGAACTCAATACTCTGTTAATCAGGATTATTCAGCAAATAACTGCTCCACTTCAAACTTGCAGGGTTGTTTTTAAAGAACTACGTTGCCAAAGCCATTGTCTAACTATTCTTATAGGTATATTCATTCTCAAAGGACACGTTAATTTCTCACCTTCCTCCGAAAGGAGAGCAACTGTAGCCGTTTTAGAGGTGAAATCCAAGCTTAGTTTTATATCAGTGTTTCCAAAGCCATCTGCTGGTATGTATGACCCATTTGTTATTGGATTTTTATTTCTGGAAAAAAAATCATGGTGGATTATTTATGTGTTTCAAAAAAAAAAGAATTGTTAATAGCCAAGAAGATATCAGTAAGAATGAACATTACTTCTCCATGAAATACATGAACAGGAACCAAAATAATTGTTATTGAAGGTTAAGCATAAAATAAAAAAGTAGATTTAGAGAAAAACAGGAACCAAATCTTTAACACAGATCCATATGGTTATTTTATAAATATTTGTTTCGTGTGTTGTTGAAGGCTTTCATGGCTGGAATCACTGGGTTGCTGTGAGTTTTCCAGACTGTATGGCCATGTTCCAGAAGCATTCTCTCCTGACGCTTCACCCACATCTATGGCAGGCATCCTCAGAGGTTGTGAGGTCTGTTGGAAACTAGGCAAGCCAGTTTATATATCTGTGGAATGTCCAGGGTGGGAGAAAGAACTTTTGCCTGTTTGAGGGAAGTGTATATCATATTCTCAGCCCTGGTTTGGAGCCCCCAGTAGCACAATGGATTAAACCCTTGTGCTGGCAGGACTGCTGACTGATAGGTCAGTGGTTCAAATCCAGGGAGAGTGGGTTGAGCCCCCTCTGTCAGCTCCACCTCCCCATGTGGGAACATGAGAGAAACCTCCCACAAGGATGGCAGAACATCAAACATCCAGGCGTTCCCTGGGCAATATCCTTGCAGACGGACAATTCTCTCACACCAGAAGTAACTTGCAGTTTCCCAAGTCACTCCTGACATGAAGAAAAAAAAACCTGGTTTTATTTCCTCCCACATATCTTTCTCTCTTAGTCATGTACACAATACTAGCAGAACCCAGAAACCTCTCTTCCAGATATATGGTTCATTCTAATAGAACTTTCTGTTTTGTTAATATTTCCAGGCAGCAGCTTCTATATGAGCAAACACACATAACTTTACAGAAGCAAAAAAGCATAGGATGTGTATTTGTGTAATTTTGTTTTGTGCAGTTTCATTTTGTTGTGGAAGTGGTTTGAGATAGGAAGGGAAAGCATAATGACTCATGACAAAGACAGACCAGGCACAAGCCAGAACCACAACGTCTCAATACATGCACGATGGAACCAGGATTCCCTCCTCATCTTTGCTCAATAGTTATGGAACTCTTGACAAAGCTTAGTGATTACCTGGAATTTGTTTGACCTGGAAAACTCTGGTAAAAACTGAAGTTAGGTTCTCTGAAGATATCAGTCCATGTCTTGTGAAACCTATCCCTTTTGCTTCGTAGGTAGTTCAAGAGATCTCCATAGCAACAGTATTCAAAAATCAAATAAATTGGTCCTGAAAATATAGTTGTAATGAACAGACAGACAAATAAATATCTGGTATGTAGCTTCTAACCCAGACATGTTTTTTGAGCTATATGATATGAGGGGCTGCCACCACAACTCTCAGTGTTCCAGGAACTAGTGTCATATTAGGGCCAATTGAGTACAGATCTTTCTTTCTTTACTAGAAACTCAGTTAAAACTCAGTTAAAACCAGCACAATTTAAAGTGCTGGTTTTAACCTACAAAACCCTATACCATTCTGGCTTGGTTTATCCATCCAAACGTATCTTCTCCTATAAACCATCAAGGAGTTAAGATCTTCCGGAGAGGCCCTGCTCTCAGTCCCACCACCTTTGCAGTTGTGTTTGGTGAGGACGAGACACAGGGCCTTCTCTGTGGTGGCCCCCCTGGTGAGATTAGGTCTGCCCCCTCCCTCCTGTCCTTCAGGAAGAAGCTAAAATCCTGGCTTTGGAATCAGGCATTCGCAGATTGATGGATGATCTGGTGTAGACTAAGAGTTATTTGACTACAATGTTTGTATTGGATGATGGTTTTAACTTGATGAATTGTCTTTTATATGTATTTTAGAAGTTATTTATTGTGTATGTTGTATTGTGTATGTTGTTTTATGATGTTATTTATTGTATAGCATTGAATCTTGCTGTTAGCCATTCTGAGTCCCTCCACGGAGGTAGAGAAGAATGGGATATAAAAGTTCTAAATAAATAATAAATAAACTCTCCATAGGCCAACAACTGATTGCTTATGGACTAGCATCAGTCCATTGACCACAACTTTCAGGACCATTGTAATGGAAACAGGGTTTCCAAAGTCAAAGTATTGGGATATTCTCATTAATAGGGACAGTGGTATTATCTGCTATCATCCCAAAACCTCAGTTTCCTAACTGAACTTAAGCACAACCCTCACAGTAGCTGGTGGAGAGAGGGAAAGACAGAGTGGATTTTTTCCAGTAGTACAGTGGTTCTCAACCTGTGAATCTCCAGGTGGCCTACAACTCCCAGAAATCCTAGTTAGTTAACCAGCTGTCAAGATTTCTCAGAGCTGAAAGCCAAAACATCTGGGGACCCACATGTTGAGAACCACTGCAGTAATAGTAATACTACTCCAAAGCATTTCAGGATTCTTTAGCTCTGAATTACCACTAGGTTTACAAAAAACATCAGTTCTTGCAACATCTGGTCTGTTGAGTTTGAGATGAAGCTTTCCCCCTGATGTTGAGCAGATAAAGAGTCTGTGTGAATGCATGCACAAACAGACAGAAAATAGATGAGAGATATTTTGACTATAAGTTTAAGCATTTGGATAGGTCCTTTAAAATGTGGAGAAGAATTCAGAGGAGAGTCGCCACCCCTTCCATATGGCAAGCCCAAATTGCCACCACACTGGTACAGTCAACATATGAAGAGGGTCACAAACTAATACCTTTTAAAGATGGCTTTGTTCCTTACCTGACATGGTGCAAGCTCCAAAGAGATTCACAATATTTTCATGTTTCCCAATATGGATCATCATTTTGAGTTCGGACATGAGAGCATCCTTCTCAGAGGAACTATGTTTTTCTAGAAATGGAAAAGCATCAGAAGGACTACAATGTGTGGAAATGCAATGTTTTACATTATCAAGGGGATGTGTTACCTTCTGGACTACTGCTGGGCTGGAAAAAGAACAAGCAGTAGCTCACTATGATTGTCATGAAGAACAGGTCAGTGCCTGAGAAGCAGACAAGATGCCTAAGCCCTCCATCCCAGTGTTTTTCAAACTGTGCTTCTCAAGGTGTTTTGGACTTCAGCTCCCAGAAATCCTAACCACCTTGACAGCTGTTAGAAATTGTGGGAGCTGAAGTCAAAAACATCTGGAGGAGCACCGTTTGAAAAACTCTTCTCCACACCCACTTTGTGGTACCAGTAGTAGCGGTTACCTTTCGACTTAGTAGGGCAGTGGATCCAGTGGAGTTTTAAAGAAGCTATCCAAGGTGCTGAGCTGTAGGATAGGATTCAGCAACCCTGGACATCTCTTCTATAATATCCTGTAAAGATGGCTTTGTTCCTTACCTGACGTGGTGCAAGTTCATGTCAGTACTAATAAAATATATTATTATTATTATTATTATTATTATTATTATTATTATTTTATTGACACAAAAACACAGTATGACACAGCAAATGAGACATATATGCTGGATTTTGTATCACAAAATCACATGTCAAACATTTATTATTATATATTATTATATAGTTTGTACTAAAACATAAGAGCAGATTACCACCACCTCATGAGTATGGAAGCCATTAGCTGTCTCTGTGTGAAACTCAATTCTATGAATTTGGGGAAGAAGTCAATGGGACTTATTCCCTGGTAATTCCTGAGAGGTCACCTTATTATTAAAGTTTATCAGGACAGGTTTATATAACAACGGCCAGGAAGAGACCTGCCACATTAGACCAAAGAGTAGCCTACTCCAATATAGTCTGCAGCCCACCATGACTGCTTCTAGACAGAAGGCACTCTCAGTGAATTAGGATACATTTTGGACTACAACTCCAAGAATTCCCATGTCAGTGATGACGGTATCTAGATAACAGAATGATTCAGAAAATTTCCACATTTTAAAAATACTACTTGGATCAGTATTTGGAAAATGTTCTTTATTGGACTACAACTGGCTACCACACTGGGGATTTTGGAACTGTAGTCTAAGAAAGTAAGTATTTCCAAACTCTGTTACTATCACTAACATTGTGTAGCCATTTTGTATTGTGGGCTTGTTTGAGTGACCATAGGCTGCACTCCTTCCATTCCCTGGACTATGTGCTGTGTAAAGAAGTAAGTACTTTGTGGAATACTTTATTTCACAACAGAAAGATAAATGTTCTCATCTCACCCATAAGAAGGAATTTGAACCCAATAGGTATTTGAAACTCTAACAACATCATAAACCTTTTTTTACTACAGTTCTTAGCCCAAATAGCCAGTACTACTCCAAAAAATAGCTTTCCATGCTCTGTTGCAAGAAGCCCAATGAAAACATGTACATTGATGCAATGCCTACTAATTCAGGGCTTTGGAGTACTAATCCTGTAAAAGATTTCTTCTCTATGCCACCAGCTCTGGTTTGCCAGTAGAAGGAGCTGCCGAGCTGTTGCCTGCTGTACTTGGACACACTACAAGGGCCAGGTAAGGATTCTTGTTTTGCTCATTTTGTTTTAGTAATAACTTTTCAGAATTTACACATTTCTTTATACGTTGAATTTTGGAAGAATACAAATCCGACAGGTTTGGCCTACCTAGACAGATTTACTCTTGAAAATCTGGCTGGAAATATCCATGCTTCTGCCTTCATTATGGTACTGAGGTAGCGTTTCCACCACTTTTTCTAATGGATCACCTTCAAGAGCCACATGGCAGACTATGAACACACAATCTTGTCTATATTGAAGTAGACCAGCTTTTGAGTCCTGAGTATATGAGCCTGCTTTAAGATCATCTGGGGAGGGCCTTCTCTCAATCCCACAACCATCATAGTCACATTTGTGGTGGATGTAGGAGAGAGCCTTCTCAGTGGCTACTCCAAGTTGTGTTTTTTTTCTACAGAAAGGGTCTTCTTAGTAAGATTTGTCCCAAAAAGGTTAGCCCAGGTATGGACAAACCCAGGGCTATGGGCCAAATGCGGTCCCTT